TATTGTAACAATGTGTACAACACTCCAATATTTGTCAAAATTTTCAAACATTTTTCTTGTCATTTCATTTATCATTTCACCTGAATATGTCATCCAGTTACGCAAATCCTCCCTAACATTAAATTTTGACAAAGTAAACATTTGAAGTTGGATAATTTGAACTAGAAAAAGATTAATAACATTATAAAAAAACTGAAGTTTCCCATAAATATTTTTAGCCATGTTCCAATCTTTTTCAGAAGGCATACAAGAGTAATGTTTCTCCCTAAGCTTCAATATAGGAAAAACATCCATATATTCTAAGGTTGTTTGAAGCATCAACTAAGTGGAGTTCCAACAAGTTTTACAATCAATAATCAACTTCTTAGAACAACTAAGTTTCATTTGATGAACCATTTCCTCAAAATTTTCAACCCTAGATGGAGTAGTTGACCGATATGCAAAATTATCAAAATTTTTTCAATGGCATATTCTATAACTACCAACCCATCATTCACAACTAGATTGATAATGTGGGCACAACACCACATGTGAACAACACTTCCATTAAGCAAACAATGCTAAAATAACTAGTCAATAATTATATTAATCATCTCATCATTTGAGCTGCATTTATCTATAGTAATGGTTGACAATTTTGCCTCTATTTGTCATGATGTTAAACCCTCAATTAACTTTTTAGCAACCACCACCATTGTGTGAGGTGTAGGAACATACACAAATCTAAGTTTTGTAACATAAACAAAATAAATTGCGTATTCAGTTATAGAGAAAGCAATGCTTGAATGTGAAAAAATTAAAATACAATATGCCATGAATATTTAATAACATAGGAAGTGTATTACTTTAAAATACGTCTCTGCAACACCCAATTGTCATCAATAAAGAGAGTTGTGATACTCATACAACTATTCTTCCGGTTAAAAGTCCACATATCAGTTGTTACTACTATTTGGCTTGCATTTTCTCATAAAACATTTTGCAACTTTCTCTTCTCAATGTCATAAATTTTAATGATGTCCTTCTTGATAGTATTGTGAAAAACCATCTTAAAGAGAGGTTGAAGGCTATAAACAAATCCCTTAAAACCAATATGGTTAGCAATAGAAAGATGATACTCATATAAGATAATGACACATGCAAGCTTTTTCATAAATGTTTTTAGGTCAAATGTAAAGTTTTCAAATTGCACATTCCCAACAATTTTCTTTTCTACCGCAATTTGTTTTTGACGCATCAAACAATTTTCAATATTTTCACTGTTCTTTTTTAGACAATGGGATAAGTGATTATGCAAATTCTTTGTCCCATACTTACTACTAACCTTAAGATGAGTCTTACAATAATCACAAACAACTCGATCTTTTCCATCTTTTGTTATTTTTTGCATATGTTTCCAAACTTCACTAGTTAATTTGCGCTTTTTAGTATGTTGATTGGTCAAAGTAATTATAGGACCTGCAAATGGATTAGAGGTGTAGCTTGATATAGGAGGTACATGACCAATAGTTGCACTTGAACACTGTGCAAAATGAGAACATGATGGAGTGGGTATGTGACTGCAGTCATCTTTTTGAGACAAAGTGGTTTCATGTTCACCATGGGTAGACTTTTCATTCTCTTGGTATGAAGATTTCCCTATTTCATGGTGTGACAATTTGTCTCCCTCATTATGGTGTGGTGATTCTTCCATCTCATAATATGATGTCATATTCATAATAACCTAAACATTAAAAGTTATCATAAAAAACTACCACCATTTATTATCAATATAAAATAAATTATAATTTTTACACTACGAATAAGACAATGACATAAAAACATATTCAATATTGTGAAAGATAAAAACTTAATTTGTTACGAAAAAAAAACTGTTAACACATAAGATTTTGAACTCCTCTTGCTTTTGAACATTATATTCACTTCTCTTGCTTTTGAACTCCTTCAATGGAACATAAACCTTTTGGGCTATATATGAAGCATTATTTTCATTATTAGTTCAAACGATGCTAATATATTGCTCGTTCATTATAGTAATAACGAAACATTATTATTAGTATATGGATTATGAAATTAATTTATAGATTCTGAAATTATTTTCATTATAGGTTTTATATGAAGCATTATATGAATTCTGAAATTAATTTATAGATTCTGAAGTCAATTCTTATTTTATATGAAGCATTATTATTAGTTCAAACAATTTATGGATTCTGAAATTATTTTCATTATGGTCTTTATATGAATTATGAAATTAATTTTTGGATTCTAAAAACAATTATTGTTTTATATGAAGCATTATTATTAGTTCAAATAATTTATGGATTCTGAAATTATTTTCATTGTGGGTTTAATATGAAGCATTATTATTAGTTCAAATAATTTATGGATTTTGAAATTATTTTCACCTTTTTATATGAAACATTATTTTCATTGTTGGTTCAAACAATTCTTATTCATCATATTAACAATGAAGCATTATTTTCATTTTTCATTGTCATTTTCCTTGACAATAATAAGTATTATTAATTCAAATAATTCCTGGATTCTGAAAAAGACAATGTACTAGAGGTCTCATATTTATAAAAAAAATATAGTTTCATTATGGAAATGACAAAACTAGCATCCAATCCAACAACGTGGATTTTATATGCAAGCAACAAAATGCCAAAACCAAAAGATATACAATACAGTGGAGCTTTAACTTCTAATAAGGACCAAAACATACTTGTATTTTAGTATATGTACAGTCCAAAACCTAAAGATATATAAAACAGTGGAGTTTTAACTTCTAACAAGAACCAAAATATAATTGTATTTTAGTATATGTTTGCAACAAAAAAAAAAGAAAAGAAAAAAAAATACTTACCTATGTCAAATGGCCATAAAAGCAAAAAACGATTGATGGTGATGGTGTGCAATCTGGTCATTCCTAACTGGCAAGGGGCCACACTCCAAGCTGGCGACGAACGACACTTGAGAAGAAGAGAATGAAGGATTCCCGGGGAGCTCTCTCGGCGGGAACACTCCGATGCTTAAGTTATAATTCTAAGAGAGAAAATTGCAGAGAATATGAAGAAAGCTTGAGTGCAAATAGCACGAATGCAATTACCTTTGCTCTATGGGGGTTAGAGTTCTTATATAATGGTGCCCTGTCAAATATGACTAACCGCCTCTGATTCTCTGCCGTAGCCGTTACTTGCCACGGCTGCGCAGGTCACTGTTGCAGGTAGACCTGTTCATGGGCTGGGCTTTTACTATTCATTAACAGAAATATGTTAGGCCCGAGCCCGAGCCCGGCCCGACCAATGGGCCTACAACTTGGGCTCGAGCCTGGCCCTAATAAAAAGCCCAAAGCCCGACCTAATAAAAAAAAATTAGAAAATTTCCCTATTCAATAATCAATATAAATCATAATTTATTTACATTAAAAAAATATATAAATAAGGGAAAGAGGATGTGGAGAAGAAAATTTTGGTTGGAAAAAGAAGGGAAAGGGGTAAAAAAAGAGGAGTATTCAACTAGGTTTTCTAGGTTTATTTATAGGTCGGGCTGGGATATTTTGGAAAATCCCGAGCCCGGCTCGAATTTATTGCAGGCCGGGCTTTTTGGCCCAAGGTTAAGCCCACGGGCCTATATACCTGTTCAAGCCCGTCCGGGGACCGGGTCGGCCTGTCGGGCCACCCGACCCATGAACAGGTCTAGTTGCAGGGTACGTCTTTGTCAAGCGGGGGACAGCTCTCAAGCTTGGCAGGCACGCTGCCGCCTGGCGAGAGACGTGGGTGCAGGGCTCCAAGTTTGGCAGGTATGGTTGTCAGGGGAGATCTTCCTATGATACGCCGAGATGTTTTCTTGCGAGCTACCTTGCACCGAGCTACCCTATGCCGAGCTGCAGGTGCCATATTGAGGTGATTCTACCCAATGTGGCCTACTTAGGTTTGAGTCATAATTCATTAGGAGGCTCCCAAGCTCACCCTGAAGTGCCTTGAGCTCGAGAGATTCCTGTCTTGCAGTACCTTGGCTCGGGATACTTTCATGGAAGAATCTTAGCTCGGGGTGTTTCCTTCTTGAGGAGGAGCTCGGGATAATCAGAGTGTCATCTGGTGCCGAGTTGCCATGCTGGACCTTGGCGGACTAGTCGTGCTGAACTATCACTTATGCTGAGTCACGCCCACATGTCCCCCTATGATGAGGTCGGGGCAAATCACCCTCCGTCAGATGGCAGTGGTGCAACACCAACGTCTATCCAACAATAGTCTATAATCACAGTTTCACAAACGGTTTTCTTCTTTGGGTTTTCTTTAGTCTTTTACGTTTTTTTAGTTGAAAGTTGAGAATCGAAACTTGGAGTCTTGGTCTTGAAGAGCATGGATATCCTATGCTCACTTTTTTTGCTAGTAAATCATGTAATGGAGTTTGGTTTTCCCAAGAGAATACACTGTAATATGTAATGGCTGGGCCATTTGTAACTTGCCGGATGGGGTTTCTCCCCTTACTACTAATTATTTAGCTTTTACCAAAAAAAGTTTTGGGAGATGATTTCTTTCACCATTCCCGGTTCGCACAACTTGGCCACTTGGGAGTTGGGTTTACTTTCGAGAGAGTTAGAAGATGAAAAGTCATAGTCTGACTTGAATAGGTCTTAAATCTTAATTAATTTTTCTTAATATATTATATTATAAATTATTTTATTATATATTATATCATGCCACGTATTTGATTTTTTTATATATATATAATCAGGTTTGTAGTCGGGTCTCAGGAACAAGTATTCGCGTAAAAACAAACCGGGTATTGGGTGTTGGATATCTTAATAAACGGGTTCTATTAAACTCGCGTCAGATCGAATAACCGAAAATCAGGAATTTTCCCTTACACATTGAGTTTGAGATTCACATGTGCGGTTGGGGTTCGCCGGTTTCATGTGCATCATTATACACGTGTAATGGAACATCTGTCAGACTGTCGCACAGCGATGGAAGTGCAGGATATGCGCAGGAAATCTCAGACTCCCGCTAAAACTAAAAGCCCTAGCTGTTTTCGTTGGAAAATAAAACAAATTCAAAATCTTCTCTAGGGTTTTATTGTCCGTCCCGAATTTTAGATTTCTGAGTAGGGGAAAGGAAAACCAGAACTGCTACAACTGAGAGACAGAGATGTCGAAGAAGAACGACTTGGCGCGAAGGAAAAGACAGCATGATTTTGAGCTGCGAAGTAAGAACCCTAAATAAATTCCTGTTCTACCTTCAATAATAAATAACAAATGAATTTATATCTATGTTTTGTATACTTATTAATGTTTTTTTTTTTTATGATAAATCAGGAGAGAAGGAGGAGAAAGAAAAAAGGGAGAAGAAGCTACAAGCAAAAAAGGCTAAGATGAAAGTATGTTTGTTTTTCCATTTTTAGTTTTTTATTTTTTATTTTTTCGGTGCGTGTGTGTGTGTGTCTGTTTCTCTATTCTGTTGATTTTCTGAGAGCTAAGGTTTCGCTTCTGTATTAAACATTTGCTGGTATTAAACATTTGCTGTTTAATGTTACCTGTTCTTTTTCGATTTTTTTTTAACATTTTTTGCCGGTGTTTGTTATTCAAAGAACATTAACGAGTAACCAGCAAATCGAATCGACTCCCATATCTTACCTATTTTGATGGATATGGTTGGTGGGATGAAGTTCAAACTTATTCCCTTTTCGCTTTTTCTTCTACAATAAGAACAAAGAAAATAGCACAAATTTTTATTTTTTGGATTTCAGATCGACGGTAGTGAGAAGAAAAAGAAGGGTTGTGGAGGTTTTCAAGTTGGTAAGAGAAAGCTGAAGACCAAATTGACAGCACTGGCAAAGGCTAAAGCCGCCCAAGCAATGGAGGTCGACAAGTGAATTTTAATGTAAGACAATGGATAAATTACATGATATCTTCATAGGTTATGCAGACAAGGATAGTTCGCGTTGCATTTTCATAGTGACTTAGGTCTTCCTTTTGTACCAAAGCAGGAAATTCTGTTCCTCCTTTTGAAATTTCGACTCCAATTCAATGAATTTAGTTGTTTTCTACACCAGGAGATCACACATTTACTGGTACAGTAACTATTCAATATGTTTGCCACACTTTCAATTGATATTTTCAGATTTCACGGCTTGATCAAACGAATTCACAGGTGTTTAGTCATTCCTTCTACCAACATTATAGTATAGAATTCTACCAACATTTAGTATTTTTTAACAAAATGGAATTAATCATAGAAATTGGTCTATGTGCTTTTTTTAAGAATAGGTTGGAAGGGAATTCCCAGAATATAGGCATATATATCAAGGTGATTAAGTTGGGTTTATAATGTTGCTAGAAAGATTCCCATCACTGCTTCAAAAGTTTTAGCATGTCAGCAGCTTCTATCTCATTGTTCCCAAAGATATTTGTATTATGCCATAGCCTTATCTCCCCAAAGCTATTTGTATTAACCAGAATATAATGGACTTCAAGGATGGCTTAAGCTATGCCTATGCTTCCATTATGTTGAATTTCTTCACTTGCATTGCATTCTTCAATATGTAGTTCTTCTAGGTGCTCAAATATGTTTTTTGGTTTAGCTGGCAGTCTGGCACTCACTGTTTAGGACTTGGGCATATCAATGTCTCATTCCCTCTAGGTGCTCAAATATATCACTGTTTAGGACTTGGGTATATAAAGACTCATTGCACTATTCAAAAACTTTAAGTCTCATTATTTGCATGATGTTTGTCCTTTTTAAAATTGGAACAGAATTCCAAGGTTAAAATTTTCTTAGAAACATGAAGGTGCCTGCTGGCTCAATTGGTAAAGTTGGTGGATGTCGTTTCCACTGAATTGGAATCAAATCATGCCTCCTCTCCCCAAAAAAAGGCTTAAAAAAAGCTTTAGAAATATTATCAGAATACTGGATTTTTTTGTAGAACCTAGTTAAATTTGGTTAATATTCATGAGATGTCAAAATCTTGTACATATCTTGAACTTGAAAATGGATCCTGACATCCTGTCAAGATTTGAAGCCTTGTTTATCTGCAAATGCTCCCTTCCATTTTTTTCCTTGCATCTATAGGTTAGAGAATTTCGTCTTCTGAAGCCTTAGAGTTGAGAAGTTGTTTCTGGAGATTCTCTATCTTGAAACTATGATATTTCAACTCCCCTGAGGCTTTTCCATGGGAGTTGAAAATTGGGGGGAAAACAAAGAGACGAAAAAAAGGAACAAAAATTAGAAACTCTAAACATTTTGTTGATTGGATTAATTGGTGTTAGCATCTTAGTTAAACTGAATATCTATTTGTTCCTTGACCCCCTTCAAAACATGGAGTTATAATTTTTTATTTTTTTAGGAAAGATAACTTGTATTAAACTTGTAATAAACAAAAATAGGAAGGGTGTACATGAGAGGATGTACAAGCCTCAAAGGACAAAAGAAAGAGGGAGGATCAGTAAGGCATTATACTTGCACTATATAAAAAGACCCTGTGCAAACCAGATTTTGCTAACCCATCAGCCAAATGATTGACACTCCATGGATTCCATCTGAAACTGCAAGACAAGGAAGAGGAGATTTCATAGAATTCATGTAAGAAGCTGGACAATCTCCAAGTCTTGAACTTTGTTCTGTAGCCCATTTTTATTTTATTTTATTTTGATAAGCAACAGATATTTTTTTTTTGAAGATAAATAAAGAAGAGAAGTTATTAAGAAAACAGAAATTACAATAGGTGACAAGGCATCACCCAAAAACCTCATAATCAATCCAGTCCTCCCCTATTTCAAAAAAGCCCTCAAACAAATCAAAACCAAATAAACTCAAAAACCTCCCACATGCAAAGCCCAAAAAATAGTCAAAGCCCCTTTCTAAGTTTTATCTCCCATCTTTCCAAAGCCAATCAGGCAGAAAGCCCATCAAACCCCTTACCAAATGCAGTCCTCAGACCCTTCTCCAATCCTTCATCAGTAGGAATCAAAACATCTTTTCTCTCCTTCATAGCTCTTCTTTTCTTCTTTATACCCTTTTATTTATACAAACCCCAAATAGATCTCCCCTTAATCTAGCAAAAACCTTTGAAACTGCCACAGTTTGGTTCTTATTCGGGTGCTTAAATCTCTTAACTGCATTAGGAAGGATCTTATCATTCTACCCCCCAATCCTTTTCTAGATCTATGACCGTGTTCTTCTCAAACACTTGCTTTCCTGACAAGACCACATCCTTCTCCACTTCCAAAGCTGAACCTCGAACATCAGAAATTGGAAAATCTTTCATCCATCAAAATTTGCCTTCCTCACCTTCAAATTCTTCCTCGAGAGGTTTTGTTAAATAGAAATCACTGGAAAAAACAGTGGATTTAAGTACAGTACAAGGGGGAAGAAAAAAAATCCAAACCAGCTCAAAGAAAAAAAAACAAGATCTCTAGCAAAATCAACTGCACAGCAAAAACAGAGAAGCCTCAAAAAGGAGATACAAGTGTTACAAGTTGGTCCCTGGTCCTGGACAACCCCAATCAAGTTGACTCTTCTGTATCCCAGCCTTGGCTAAGGAATCAGCCAAGCCATTAGCACTTCTAGGTACCCATTTGAATGAGTTATTCAATAAGGATCCCAAGTGTTTTGACTGCCTCACCAAAGGCCTTTCCGGGACCAAATCCTGCTTCTTCAGCCAGTTTATTAGTGGCATTTCTAGAGTCCCCTTCCACGGTAAGTGAGCTGAACTAAAGATCTATAGCAATTCTTAATCCTTGTAACAGAGCACGAATTTCAGCTCCTGAAGCATCCTCTGCTGTAGTGGGTCCTCTGAAAATCCAACATGAGTCCTCACTGGAGTTATCAACAGACCACCAATGCCTGCAGCTGAATGGGAATTAAGATCTCTCCTGAACCTTCCATCAGATTGGAGGATGAAGGCACTCACATATCTTGGAAGGAGATTATAAGAAAAGATGCAGCATGAGAGGTTTGCAAGTAATCCAACCAGCATCTACGCAGGTCACCAAAATTCACTTCAGCAAAATCCTTGTTGGTGCTCATCCAAGAGGTAAGCAAGGCGGACACTCAATTTTTAAGAACACCCAAAGGGGAGGCTATATTATGAAAAAGTCTTTTATTTCTCTTCCCAAATTCCCCACAAGACTGCATGAGTAATAGCACTCCAAAACCGTTTCCCCCTCTTACCCAAATTACTACACTTCCACTGATTAATGAAGTCACCAACAGAATTCGGAGGAGCCCAGCTGTAACTGCCCCCATAAATCAAGTCCAAGAAGAATTACCACATGGCATTTGATGAACAGGTGGCCAATGGACTCCCCATCACTTAAGCACATAATGCAAACATGGGGTGATAAAAAGCTCTCCCTTTCTTTTTCCTCTGGAGGGTGTCAAGTATGCAGCCTCCCCAAGTGCTTCCCAAATGAAAGAGACTCTAGTAGGGACTGAAGTACGGGTGCGAGTTGGGTACCTGATTCTAAGATTTTACAGTGCATCAGGCCCAGGTTTTTGGTCTGGGACCATTCAAATTTTGACAAAACCTGCTCAAGCCTGCCTAAGTTGCACCCCTAGACTGAAGAGAACCAGATCCTATTAGCCCAAAAAGGACTAGTGGAGCTGGGGGATGGAAACTAGCTTGTGGAAGAAAAAGTTAGTGGTGAAGGTGTCATTTGGGGTATTTATCAAAAAAAAAAAAGGTGTCATTTGGGGTTAAGGACCAGATTAGCTTGTCTGGAATATAGTTAGAAATAAAGACCTCTGAGGGCTGGAAGATGAGGGGGGAAGCTTCTTCAATCTCAGAGTCTTTCAGGGCTCTTCCAAAGAAAATTATAGGACAGATTAAGGTTGTGTCAAAGTACAGTGGAAGAGACTAAGGTGTGTTTATTTTGATCTAACTTGTAGAGGGAAGGGAATGCCCATGAGGGTTCTATCACCCCCACAACAGGTCAGTCCAGAGATTGATTTGGTCACTGGTGCCTAGGCTGAATCTGAGGAAGGGTGAAAAGGAGTCCAGGGCTTGAAGAATTCCTTTCTAGGGGATGGCTGCTAAGAAATCAGGTAAAGGCTGGTTGCTGCCCCCTCCAAGGCTTCAATGACCATATTTTCTTGAGATAACTGAGGCCCATAGGGAGTTCTGCTTGTTCTTGAATCTCCAAAGCCACTTCCCTAGGAGAGCTAGATTCTTTTCATCTAAATGTCCCAGTCCGAGACCTCCTTTCTCCTTGGGATTACAAACTATTTTTCAATTCACTAAGTGATCTGTCTTCTCCCCACCCCACCCCACAAAAAAATCCATTGCAATTTTTCCAAAAAGTTTCTCACCTTGGTCGGGATTCTGAAGAGGGAAAGGTAGTGGGTGGGGGGTTTGAAAGAGCAGACCTAATAAGGGTAGGTCTTCTGCTTTTTGAGATATAATTGCTTTTCCTAGTTGCAAGTCTTCTCACCTTGGTTGGGGTTCTGAAGAGGGAGAGGTAGTGGGTGGGGAGGTTTGAAAGAGTAGACCTAATAAGGGTAGATCTTCTGCTTTTTGAGATATAATTGCTTTTCCTAGTTGCAAGTCTTCTCTCACAATTCTCCACAAGTGTGTCCTAAAATCCCGAGTCCTTAGGATTGCATCCTAGAGGAAGGCTCAAGTATTTTGTGGCCCAAGTTTCAATTCTGCACCTGAAAGCTTCTTGCAGCTTGCCCAACACTACAAGGGGAGGTATTGATGCCAATATTACTGCTCTTATCTAGATTACCCCAGTGATTTAAAAGGCATGCCTGAGGCGTGCCTAGGTGCATAGACGAGGTGCATTTTAAGGTATGTGCCTTGCCTAGGTCCTAGGCGCAGCCCTTTCAAAAGGTGCACGCCTGGTTTGCCTAGGCGTGTGCTTGATGTGCCTTGCACCTTAGCCCAGGGATGCGCCTTTTGAAAATTCCACGCTTTTTTGCTATTTTTGAACCTAGCGACTGGACCCCCGTACCATGCCCCTCGAGTCAAGCCCAAACAAGTCTATGTTAGGGTCTTAAATTCTTAGTTCGCACACAAAAATAATGATTTTATAATTTTAATTGCATTTTAAGAAGATATTTTATTAGGATGAATGGATGAACAACATTAGCAAATAGGGGGTTGAGAAGTCTCTCACACTTCTTGTCACCTACCTCCATTGGATTT